TCCTGGTCACTCCCCTGCTCTTGTGTTTGCAGCTTACACAGTGAGCAGGGCCTGGGTCATCTGGCATCGCACAGACTGAGGACAGTGGGATTTTAGGACATACAGTCAAGAGCTACTTGACCTGTGATGGCTGAAATAATTCATAAAATTATCCACTGAGAAGTTACTTAAAACCCAATTAAAAACAATATCGAAATGCCCTTTGTTCACCCATCAGCCTTGTTACTCAGGACTTAAAACATGTGACAAAACTTCCTTATTTTAAAACTCAGTTTGCGGTGAGACCTGGATGTAAATGGGGAGCAACTTTAAAGAAAGCAGGTCCTAGCAGGTTGGGGGATGTTGAATGGAACAGGTCATGGCAGCAGGAAGAGGCAGGACAATCAAACATCTGAACATCTTCTGGACTCCTGAAACACCGGCCTTCTCCAGGCAGGTGGAAAGAAAATTGAGAAAATTCTGGACAGGAGCAAGAGGAGGATGATCTGTTTTTCTGTGGAAGGTGCAGGTTATCAGGTTGGCCGGTTCTTCGAGAGGGAGTGACCATTCGCCAGACGTGGGGAGGCAGGAACGGGGAGAGAATCACGGAGTCTCCTCCAATGCCAGCCCCTGACCCCAAGCCTCCCAGAGTGGGTGGCTCGTCTCTGAGACATCTCCAGGTGGGGCGTGCACTGTGTTAGTGGGCTCTTCACCTCTGTGACCAAGGCTCCTGACAAGAACCACTTAGAGGAGGAACAGTTGGTTTTGGCTCACGGTTTCCGAGGTCAGTCCAGGGCCAGCAGGCACCATGGCTCTGGGCCTGAGTGGGGCGGGGTGTGGTGGAGGAGAGCTGCTCAGCTCATGGTGGCCAGGAAGCAGAGAAAGAGAGGGGCCAAGAATCCAGGACACAAGGTGACCCCCTGGGCACACCCCAGTGACCACTTCCTCCAGCATCCTTCCCAACTAGTAACCTGTGGGTCTGCCCACAATGAGGTCACAGCTCGCACAGCCTGATCAGGAGTTATCAGGGGACACTGCTACCAATCGCCAACTGTGACACATGATGTAAGTGCCTCTGGACTCCCACGCGTGTCTGGGAGCCTGTGCCTGTGTAAGCCATCCACATCAGGGACTATTTGTAAAAGTGGCTTTGTACTGAAGTGTAACTGAAAGGCCACTATGTCCATTAGCATTTGTGACCTGCTGTGGGTGCCCCAGTGTTGGGCACATGGGTGCCACCATCCTTGGTGCCATGGAGCCCTGACATGAAGGTTCTCTCCAGGTGATGGCTCTGGGTTTGGGCTTCATGCTGTCCGTTCAGCCTCAGGCCAGCGTTTCCTTCCTTGGCTAAGGGGCTCTACAGAGAGAATCCCATGCCATGTGCTCAGGCCTCCTGGGATCCCTGGGGCCTCCTGGTCAGTGTCTGCGATTTTTGTAGAAGATGCCTCAGGCCGCGGCTCAGCTTCCTGTGACCTCACAGACCCAGAGTCTGGGGGTTCAGGTTCTAGCCACTGCAGGTCCCTGCCACGGAGCCACAGTGCTGGCACAGGACAGCTGAGCCCTTACCTCCATGAGGATGTCCCTGAGATGCGACCTTCACTCCAACGTCCCCATCAGAATCAGGGTGCAGCCAGATGATAGTGTCCATTCCTGTCCAGGCCTGAAAGCAGGATGTGCTATAGAACAGAGTGGGTCGGAGGGCAGTGTGGCTGAGAAGAGCTGCCCAGGAGAGCCAAGCAGAGCCTGGGTGCTGAGTGTACAGGGTGACAATTGTGTAGGTCATGAGGAAGGGAAGCCTTCACTTGCAGAGAGCAAGAAGCCAGGAGAGTGGAGCTGCCTCATGTGCCCTCTCAAGTCCGGGGAGTTGCTGATGTGAAGTGGCCTCCTCTGGGACCTCCACCTGGCCTCCTCTGGGACCTCCACCTGGCCTCCTCCAGGACCTCCATCTGGCCTCCTCCAGGACCTCTGCGTGTCCTTCAGGACCTCCACATGCGAGTTCCTCTAGTTCCTGCAAGAAGGGTGGGCAGCAGTAGCCTTGCTGTGGGGTGGGAAGAGCACAAGTCACCCGAGGCCCACTCCCTCTGTGACTGGGCGTCAGCAGTGGAGGGCGGGGCTTTGTGTGGGAGAGGGAGCGCTGGCCATGACGTCAGAGCATTGCCTCTCCTGGAGGGAGGCTGTCTGGAGTGCTGAGAAGCCAGAGTGAGGTCAGGGAGGCTGAGAGTACAAAGCACCTTCACATTCTGAGGTTTGGTGCTCGGGCTGTGGTGGGTCAGAAATGACATCTCTTCCCTGGTGACATCCGAGCCTGAGTACCATTCTCTTCATGCCTTCATCCTCTCTTCTCTCAGGAGTCAAATGTGGCCAGAAGGCCCTGGGAACCACACATAGAGTCTGTCTGGATGCAGCCTTCACGGTCAGCGTCCTCACGCCCTGAACGCACCTGCTTTGCTGGGCTACGTGTCAAGTAGAACTTTGTGATTTTTTTGAAATCTATCATCTCTTATCTATCATCTGTTCACCTACCTACCTGCTGCAGGCTTAATAAGATCAAAGTACTCTCATTTTCCCCAAGCATAAAAAGCTGAGAGAGGACAAGTGATTTCATTAGGGCCACAGAGCTTGAGAGCAATAAAGCTGTGATCTGAACATTGTTAACTTAGTCCCCTTCAGTCTAGACTCTGACTGTGGAACGACATATTAGAAAGTGCACCTTGGCTTACAGTAGCAAACTTCTGGAAAGTTCTAGCTTCTTAGGTGGATGGTTCTGTAGAGTGCCTCTGTTCGGCCCAAGTCCTCGGTGTCAGTCAGGGTACTGGTACCTGTACAGAGGGCATTAAAGACAGGACTGGCTGAGGGCAGGGCTCTCTACCACTTCCCACCTGACACTGGACAACTATGTTGACATCTCTGAGCTTCAGTTTTGTCATTCATACTATGAGAACCAACTTCTCGCCCACAGGGCTGCTGCTGGGGTTATGTAAAGACACACGTCCAGGAAGCCCAGCGCCCGACGGCCACATGTCCAACTCTGGGCATGACAGAGAGCTTCTCCTTCTCTCAGCCGACGCCTCCCCACCCAGCTCCAGTCACACGGGGCTGGCTCCTGCAGGGCCCCACGAGAGCACAGCCCCCTCTGCACACAGGTGACCTACAGCAGAAGCAGCACCAGGGC